ATTTGGAGTGTGTCTCTCTCTGCTTCCTGGTTTCATGTCCTGAGCCACTTTTCCTCCACCACACTCTTCTGTCATGATGTTCTGCCTCACTTATGGCCCAGAGCAGTGGAGTTAGCCATCTATRGACTGAGACCTCTGAAACTGTGAGCCCCAGAATAAACTTTTCCTCCWGTAAAATTGTTCTTGTCAGGTCTTTTGGGCACAGCAGCAGAAAAAAAAAATGATTAAAATATGAACAAATCACCTTGCCTGATTTGCTAAAAACTTGGAAATGGGAGAATTCGATGGTCCTCATGAGAGTTGGGATATTAGCAAGGAGTAGCCTCCTTCACTGCTTTAAAGCATTCTTGAGATATTGAAGTTACAATCTGTATTAATAGGCACATGGAGTCATATGCTCATGCTATAGCATTGGCCAGTGACATTACCCTATCTAGAGAGAGAAAAGGATTTTGATGAGAGACTTTGGACAACAAAAACAAAACAGAGGCAGGAACAACAGTGTAGATATGGGCAGGGAAGAAGAAGTCTTGGAAAGGTGTTAAGAACCTATTCTGACTTCTCTGATGTTTTATCTACTTATTCCAAGTCTCCCATCAGGTTTCCAAACGGTAGAGTGCACATTCATTTGACATTGCTTTGTCCCAGGTGACAATCTTATTCACTCTGATGAGTTCCCAGATTTATCATCCTACCCCAGATCYGTTTTCTGATTCGAATCTCTCCCCGTCTCAATCTATCTCTTGCTCAATCTAAATTTCCAATTGAATGTCACAAAATTGTTGTAAGCATATCTAAAATTGTATTCTTGATTTCTTCTTTATATTCTCCCCTAGATTTCCTCAACTCAGAAAGTGACACCCCAACATCCTGGTTGCTCAACTCAGAATTTTGTTGTCATCCTTGAAACTTTCCTCTTCCTGTCCTAAATATTTTTACTGCCTAAATATGTCTTGAGGTCAACAACTGAGCTTCAACTTCCTTATGTAACCTTGATCTATAYCATCTTCAATCCATGTAGTAAGGGACTACTTAAAAATAGATTACAGGGTTGGGCATTTTGCTCAGAGGTGGAAAGCTTGTCTAGCATGTGCAAGATCCTGAGTTGGATCCCCAGTACTTCCATAAATAAATAATAAGTGTAGTTTGCATGGTGCCACCTCTCTGCCTAAAACACATGAATGGCCCAGCTTCTTTTTCATCTTTAGTTAGTACCTTCCTCCCAATGGCTGCCTCCCTCCTATGGGTACCTCAGATCCTTTGCACGTTATTCTGCTTTGAATTCTTTTCCTTCTGCAGCTCTTCTCTTTCCCACGTCTCCAAATTTCTACTAAAATTCCCTAGTCTAATTTTAGATGTAAGCTCCTACAGAATCTGATTTAGGAYTCCCTTGATAGTCTCTTGTATAATATACTATTTTTTTCCCAAAACACCAAATTTATAATTATAAACACATTTGTGTGATGCTTTATATCTTCCTAGAATAACTATTTTGTGTTCACTCCTATGTGCCCAGCTACTAGAAGTTTCTAGCATGTAATAGACACAACCAATATTTGTTGAAGGACAATGAATGAGCTATGTTAGCTGAAGAGATTATTGTAGAATAATCTATATTTCTTTTTTCTTTCTACTCTATTCTAGCCTAATTACCTTTCRATTATGGTTTGACTTCCTTATATCTTGATCACTGGGGATGAATGCACTGATTGGACTTATTTAGATGAGAGATGTTTCTTCAAGATGTTGCTCAAGTTCAAGTGCATTTTATTTCATATGCAGTTTTTCTCTAAGGTCCTGAGAATAATGAACTGTACTCCCAGACTTGAGATCAGGTCCTGAGCTCCATTAATTCACTAGTAAATATTACCCATGAGGCTTTATTGGAAACAGTCTTGCAGATATTTCCCCTCAGTGACTCTGGAACAATTACTTAAAGTTTATCTTTCATTTTGGAATGTCTGTTCTGAGGTACTTAGAAAGTATTGCCAAAATTTGGCCAGTTACTAATGATAGAAGTTACTGAATATAGAGTTGTTATCATCTGTGTGTGCCACTCAGGAGTTTAACCAGGCTATGCTAATCTTAGGTTAGATTTGTAAGCCTTTCAATCAGGTCCTTTCCTGCAACCAGATTTTATTAGTTTGGCAAATTCTATTGACAGTATGATAATGAGCCTRGTACCAACTGGATAAAACTACTACAGAACTAAAAGAATTCTTACTACGAAGTGTTAGCAAAAAACTTATAGTCTTTCCAAATGCCATCTTTCTGACTGTGCTGTTACAAAAATATTGTTTCCGTCATTCACATCATAATGCTACAAAGCACAGTTATGAGTTATCTTACAGAAAAGGAAAGCATAGTGGAGAAAGATTTAGCACCGTCAGTGTCTGAACTGAGACATGAACCTGAGTCTGCTTCACTCCATCTCCCAACGCTTCACCACTACATGAAATTGCCTCTTYCTGACTTGATCAGGTACCAACTATTTGGTATGATATCAACTGGTTTATTTGGAAACAAAAAATTCCTATCCTTTGATTTATGTCATGAGAAAAAATACTACTGGGTCATTAAAATTCATGTTTCGATATTGTTGATGAATTTATTCAATAAAAGATTTCTTTATTATATTCTCTCCACCAGCTATTTTATAGTATCTAAGGAATGCAGATAAAGGATACATAACCTTTTCCCTCAGGAAACTTGCAGTCTCACGGGAAACAGAAAAATATCCAGACACATATAATACAACATGATTAATGCTATAACATAAAGCTGGATTCTAAGGAATCAAAGAGGGGTGCTACAGAAATGTGATGTGAACTGACCCTTGAGGGCTAGGGATTTGCTAAGTAGACTCATAGGAAGAGAGGTAGAAAAGGCTAGTTTTCTGGGCAGAGGAGATCATGTGTGTAGGTCTGGGAAGCCTCTAGAACCTCAGTGTTTTGAGTACATTGGTTACAAAGGGTAGGAAAAAGGCTGCATTTCAAGAACTCAAGCAGAAGAGATTATAGCAAAGGATCAGGTTACATCCAATCTTTATTCTACTCAAGAGTTCTTTGGAGCAGGAACAGAAACCAAGTCAAACTAGCTATAGTAATGACATTTGACCTTTTAGGCTCAGGTGTCTACTACCATAAGACTGCAGTCTGTCTTTCATGATCTCAAGAGAATCTGATCAGTGACTGGCTGACCCTCTGAGTCAGGTGTCTATGCCTCTTCTGATTGATAGGATGGCCCAGGAAAACAAGGCAGGGAGAGAGAGAGAGAGAGAGAGAGAGAGAGAGAGAGAGAGAATGGAAAGAGACTGCACTGGATTTCTCCAAGGCTGGGGTCCCATGGTGTCGAATGTTCTCCCGGGAACAATGGACATGCAGGTTTCCCTAGGAAGGCTGTGAGAGACAAAAGGGATGAAGTCCATCTAGCACAACACTGTGGGTCATGGAAAAACAGCTGGACTTCTTAGTGAGCATTTACAGAAAGCAAGAAAAAAATCTGTTATTAAAGTCACAGTTATTATTTTAACATTTAAGGCAGCTCCCACTCATGACTCCAAAGCATAACATTTATAAGGCTGAAATAATCAGAATATTTTTGCATTGTTAATGATTTTGAATTACTTTTTTAAAAAGTATGTATAGCAATTATTTTACAAATAAAATACTGGAAATCTTATCCTTAACTCTGGCAGGGAAGGCCGACTGTATCAGGGGAGCCACTAGACCAAGGAGATTGAGTCTCTGAGTGACCACGAAACATGGGACACCCCGCTCTAGTTCACATGGACAGTGCTGGAAATGGGAAATTTAACCTTATAAGATARCTAAGAGCTGGAGTTACTTTGCTAAAGCAACTGTGATTGCTTACTCAGGCCTCAACACGGCACTCCCCAGCTCTGCACAGGATAGAATCTACCCAGTCTGAAAGTCTGGGTTTCTATGCAACAGTGTGGAAAAAGGGGTCTTATTGACTTGTTTACAGCATAGTGCTATTACATAAGCAAGAATTGAGTTTCTGTTACAGTTATGTAACAATACATTTTGGGTTCACTGTGAAACTGTTAGCCTATCTTCAAAAGCATCTGGCTAGTGAAAATCTATCATATACTGTCTTTTATATTTRTTAAACATTATCTTTTATTTTATGTCTGTCCTAGGATTAACAAAGGAATGAAAAAGATGTATTTTAAATCTCACAAGGGATGTAAAAAAAGTTTAAAATGAATTTTCAAAATATTTATATATAAACATTTAATTAACAAAGTTTTCACCAATGCTTTCAAATTCTGTTTATAAAAAAGCTTGAAGGATTGTCTGTAGGATAAAAATCAGTGTAAGTGATAGAAATTGTCATATTTCACTGATATGTTATAGTTTCCTGTTTTACTAACTTTTCCTAATTTAACATTTCATAAAATCCTTTCCTTCTTAGGTATGTATAGATTCTTATTTTCAGTGATGACAGTTCCATTTACATAAACTTATTGCTAAACAGATTATATAATCTTATAAAAAGYAATTTTAGAATTCACAAAATAGTTAACAGAAAGGACCCAAATGAAAAATATAACACAATTTAGTGAAATATGCATAGTGAATTAGGGAATAAAGCAGAATATCAATGTTTCACAAATAAGTGTAAAAGATTATTCTCTTCAATCACCCCTCATGATGCCTTTTATAGGTTATCTTCTTGATTTTGTAAGTAATCTTCTTAAATATCTTCCTCCAAATATAAGTCTTTCATCATATATACTGTTCTGAATACTGAAATATTTGCAGTTGGGAATAAATGCAAATGACAAAGATTACCTTAGAATCTATCTTTTATATTGTGGAGCTCAGAAACAATATATAGAAACACACTAGAGTACGAAAAAAGCATATGCTTATATTTTCAATTCAAAATATAATTTTCAAAGTTAGGCTTTTTATATTGTKCAGTGCAGAAAAAATATTGAAGTTATGAATGTTGGCTATTTTTCAGGGTCTGAAAATTAATGTTTATGTGAAACAAGTACATCATAATAATGAATTACATTATAGAACTGGAACATAACCTCAAACTTTAATGGTTTGTTGATATGTGGAAAATGTGAAACTAATAAAAACAACATTTTCTTTTATTTAATGAGTAATTCAATTGTTCTTTAAACATTGCTTAAGCATTTTAATTGACTATTATTTCCTTYATAGTATTTTCCTCTTTGAAAAACTTATGGTTTCATTTTTATATCTTCCATGTTTTTTTCTATATGCTTTAAAAATCCATTATTACTTATTAGCAATATAAATAGTTTTGTGCTTTTCGATTACACCAATGTCATGTTCTAGCTGTTTCATTTCTTTTTCCAGCTTCTGTTTGCGAATCTTCTTCGGTATGGAGTCTATGAAGACTGAGAGGGACTGGAACTCTTTGTGCACCTCTTCCCAGTTCTTTTTCAGCCCCTGAAAATGATACACAGAACTGAACTGAAGCAAATTGCAAAAGTAAGTAAATGGTAAAGAAACTGTACTGATAACAAAATTGTAAACAGGTAAAAGATACTGATGAAAATAACTTTTAAAATGATACATATTTACCAGGGACTTGGCCACAGTAATGAAAAATCCTGTACAGAGGCCAAATTCTGTCCTTGATTGTCTGCTAAATCCCCATTGGGAGTATTTATTTGTGCTGTTTTTAATGTTACTGTACTCATTTTTAACATCAAATATGCATATGCAGGGTTATGAGTGCTATGGTACTAAGCTAACAGCAAACGTTTTGGTAAAAACCAACAACTGAGAATTGATACTGCCAAGWAAAGGACATTTTTGAACAGGAAATTATTTCTTATGAAATTTTTACTTTTTTCTTCATATTATTTTTCCTTTTTTAATCCTCTTTTTATTTCTCTTCAACAGAAAAATCATACCAAAAGTCTTGAGTCTGACTTGCACAACTATATTTTCTTATATTTGACAAAATGGGATTGTAAGAATGCCAAAAATCAATTTTGCAAAGGATGATCATTTATATATCCTTTCAATATATTAGAAAGAACAAATTGTCCTCCCCATAGCCAAGGGATCTATACTTCCCATTAATGTATTCTAGAAATGATTGGAATGTCATTAAATGTATCCCATATGCTAATTCAATAATGTAGTTAATGTTTTATTGTCTCAGAAATCAACAAATTCAAAATTAGGGGTCTCTTAGGAGTGATAAAGTTTTTTTCCATCTCTGCCTGGTTATCATTTCTTATCACAGTGCACTAGGGGGCTCCACTGACAAAATGATCTTAAACTTCTGAGTTTAATTCAATGAATTAACTCTTCATCATTCATTATGGGCACAGATCGTTTTATTGACATGGGAGAAAAACTCTAAAACAGACAATGTTATTTAAAATATTGCCTGGAAAACATGATCCTTGAAAAAAAATGGYCATATCTTAGGTTTAAAAGAGGATTAGAGGTATCATATAATAAAGCTTCATAATAAGCTTTCATAGTACAAATTCAAACTTATGGAAAGTTTTTGGGGATGATAAAAGTTCAGAGATATAGTCCCCTGCTTAGGTAAAAATGGTAACAGAATAGGGTACACTGTATGGAATAGATTTGTTGGGGAAAAGCACAATAACAGTCTTTTGCCCTTAAGTAAGATTATATTATAGACCTGGGCAAAGGAAAGAGAGAGGAAAATACCCAGGTTAAATTCTAAAAAGAGGGAAATAGGTTGTCATAGTTCTCAATAGGGCATAAGACATATTCCAAAAAGAAGTCTTCAAAAGAACTCTATGTCTTCATGGTCTTTYATTATGAAATGTGAAATATGTTCCCACAGTGCTCCACAGGAGTACTTATTGCAGAGAGAAATCTATATATGTATGCACTTTCAAATATCAAAGGTTTTTCATAGCCAGTTGGTGATATTTCCATATTACTTCTGGTCACAGCAGCTATACTTTTTCTCTGGATTTTCTTTTAGAGGACAGTTTGCTTTTATCTTCTAATGTATACAACAGTGTTTGGATCAAAGTCAACATATAGAGATGAAAACTAAATAGAACTAACATGTCATATTATGTTGCAGTAGCCTCATTGCTGATTTTAAGATGCCTCCACTTTTTTGTTGTTGTTATTTTATCTTAAAAAAAGTCTTTTATCCATTGCAACAATAGTGCCCCCTCTACTCCTCTTGGGGATCAAACCCAGGGCTCACTGCATGCATCAAACCCAGGGCAAGCACTCTACCACTGAGCCACAGTCCCAGCCTTTTCCATTATTTTTACTTCTTAATTTTTCCCTTTTCTATTTTAAAGCTAAAATAACATTGTTAATTTTGAAAAAATAGGACAATTGGTCATATCATAAGGAGTACCTACTGTTTCACATTCCTTTTGTATCTACCATACCCTCAAATATTCTCCATCTTCTTGCCTGCTCACTGACTAGGGGTGGAGGGCAGGAGTTGATTCCTATGGGCTGTCTCCTGGTTCTTGTGCCCTTTGGCTATTGACTGAGTTCAGCCAAAGCAAGCACTGGTGGAAAGGGAGAGAGGCTGGGTATTCTTACCCCTCTCCCTCAGCACTGCCTGGATGTTAGTTCTAGCTGCACTGTGACTGTGACAGGCGGCCCCTCTTCAGGCTCCAGATTTCACTAGGCCCTGATAACCCTATTACCTGTCCCTGCCCTTCAAGCACAGGTGGTGGTAGACTCCCTTTGTTCTTAGTCATGGGCACCCTCAGTGTCCCTTGTTGGCTTCTTTAATCCTACACTTCACTTCTGTAAGAAGTTCCTTCTTAAATTCTCTTAGAACTCCAGCTGAACATGCTTTCTATTTCCTGCTGGAGCTCTGACTGATAAAGCTACCCTTGGGTACCTCCTATACCTCTCATGGAATTTGTCATGTGTGGTGAGACAAAGACACCAAATGCAGTCAGCCCACAATAATGAGGGTTCTGCATCCATGAGTTAATAGGAAAGATAAAATAATTGGTTTAGGTAYAGTTTCAATTATTCTAGAGCTCCATCTAGTGAAAGATATCTGATTTATGGGCATTTTTTAAATATAAATTCAGGGACATAMGAATGAAAATAAAAATACTTTTTTACCTTATTTATACATGTTTGTTGTATTAGAAGGTAGGCTTCCTTACAACGCAAGCTCACCAAGTTGGTAACAAAATATTATTCCATGGGTTCCTACATTAAAACTTTTTGCTCTGCCAGAGAGTCAGYTTTGCTGCATGGAGTTTGTCACTATAACCAAAAGAGATTGTTCTGACATGAAAGTCAGAGTGCTGGCTTCAATAACCAAGTAGAGGGCAGACTGGAAGGCCTTTCAGAGATGTTCCAAAGAGTGACACACCAGTATAAATCACAGAACACTGACCTGGAGAACAGCTTCCCTCTCTTCATCAGAGAGCCTTTTCATAGCTGCTTTCTTAAGGTTTTCCTGGATATAATTGTCATATTCTTCTTGGGCTTTCTTAACTTCCTCATTTCGTTTACATATGTATTCAGGTGTGATCCCATAATCCTGTAAGGATTTTTCAAGAAAAAAATTACTAAAATTTGGAATGCAATCTTACATATGTTTATAAAGCAACCAGGACTAGAGAAAAAAAAAATTCTACAGATTTAAAGACTTTGCTCCACATGAAAAAATTCAGTGACTTCCCATAGAGAACTAGTTGATTCTAGTCTTCTAAAACTGAGTTTTATTTGTTTTCCCTCTTCTGAATGYTCCCAGTGCCTGTTCTCATGACTCCATCCTTTACCCCTAAGAGCTGGCTTTTCTTTTCTATATGTTATGTGCTTCTATTTGTATATGTTTCTCAAAATATAAGTAACACCTAATCTACTGAAAAAGCTTTTACCTTGAAATCTCTTGAGTACCTTTGAGGTCTCTTTTTCATGATCTTGTTAAATAAAAGAAGATTAATGTGCCCAAGACATTAGAAAAGCAAAGTCCTTGCATCATATGAAGCCTCTCAAAGAGAAAATTGACTTGGGAACCCTCAAGTTGTTTTTGGAAAGGCAAAATAYATTTTTAGGCTCCTGGGCTATTTAGAAGGATTGATAGCGAAGACATCAGCTGTGATTCTTTCAGATTAATGCATGCATTGATTTCATTGTCTACAGAAACWGAACTATTCCACATTCATTCTTCAAAAAGTATTTGAGAAATGTACTTGGTGAAAGGTATAATAGTGAATAAGAAAGGCAAAGTTTCTGCTCTCATGGCATTTGCACTCTGTGGTGAGAGAGATTCACCAAAAACAGACTGCAGTTAGTCCTCCATATCTGAAGGTTCTGCATCCATAGATTCAACCATGGATGGAAAATATTTTTGAAAAAGTGTGTACAGACTCTTTTCATGTCATTCCCCAAACAATACAGTGAAACAACTATTTAAATAGCATTTACATCTGTTTTGGATTTAAAAGTAATTGAGAGATGATTTAAAGCACAGAAGGATGTACATAGTTTGTATGCAAACACTACACTGTTTATGTAAGCAGCTTGAGAACCTGCAGATTTTGGTATCCACGGGGTCTCTGGTGGATATCCAGAGAAAAGACTGTATGAAATAAAATAAAGTAAWATAAAGGCTAAAAAGGGTAAAGAAAATAACAGAGGCTACTATAGATAAATAAGGTTGTCAGGGGAGACCCTCTGYGGGAGCAGCAACTGGGAAGTATGGTAGTCACTGAAGTTATTCACAGTGTTCTGGTTCTTCTCTTCCTAGGTATTTGGTAGAACAACACTGTCCTGCTCCCCTTGAAGTAAAATTTAGCTAGGTAACCTGACTTGTCCAGTGTGTGTAGAGGTATCAGTGGATAATCTCATTCTTCTTCTGTTGGGCCTAGTGACAAGCAATGTTTTGAGTTTTCTGGGTCCAAAAAGGACAAGAAGCAGAGCCTCTAAAAAAGTACACTGCCCTATACGGATAAACTCTAAAGGCACAGTGTTTTGGTCAGTTAGTGCAGTGATAAACAGATTAATGCACTTCAGGAAATACAGAGGGCAACAGTTCATTATAACTCAGCACAACTGATATTCATAATGATGATAATTCTGTAGCTTTACACACAAGACTAAATTATAGTCAGCAGACTCCGTTGAAGAAAAGGAATAGCGAGATACATTTTAGGAAAAAATAATCTCATAAATGGGCAAAAGCTTCAGGGATCTGAAATATTTCTAGGTGCTGAATCACTGAAGGTAAGTGTATACTATTAATATTAAACTGCATATAATACAATAATTACTAATAGGGCATTATGTAAAATTGTGGATGTGTAACCTACGTGATTCTGCAATCGGCATTTGGGGTAAAATTGGGAGTTCATAACCCACTTCAATCTAATGTATGAAATATGATATGTCAAGAGCTTTGTAATGTTGTGAACAACCAATAAAAAAATAAATAAATAAAAAAAATAAACTGCATATAATATTCATTCTTCGTTGTACTTTTAGAGGTGCCTAGGCATTGTGTTAAGTTCTTTATAACATTTAATCCTCTTCATTGTACTTTTAGAGGTGCCTAGGCATTGTGTTAAGTYCTTTATAACATTTAATCCTCAGAACAACCCAATGACTTATTAGAGATCACAGGAGTAGAAAGTGGCAGAACTAGGATTTGAAATGATGTCTCACTACTATTGCTATAGACCTCAAGTAATCATCCACCTTCAATTTGTTTTCACAAATTGTTTCTCAAAATACAAATGACACCTAATTTACTGAAAACTAAAACATGAGGATTACTCAGTTAAAAAATGCTTTGTCTTTAAAAACATTTATTTTCTAATTTATTAATAATATATTTTTGAAATTTAACCCTGATAAATTAAGTGGAATAAATCTTTCATCAGAAATTTAGTGGAATAAATTTTTCATCATTGTTTAATCAGTGACACCAAGAGGACAGTAGGTGCCAGTCTTGTCATGGTTTGGTAAACAAACACAGATATATTAACCTGGTGTTTTTCTGTTTCCATGATGGATTCTCCAAATTTTTTGTTCAATATAGAATATACTTTGAAGTGGGAAACTGAGGCAGAGAGCATCCAAGATGAAGGGCAAAGTGTGTGGCAGTTGGTGGCATAACAATCAAAGAAGAAGAGTTTCTATGTGATAGGGCAGAAATTATGGATTGGAATGACTTTAAGAAGCCTGGATAGGGGCTGGGTTTGTGGCTCAGTGGTCAAGCGCTTGCCTAGCATGTGTGAGGCCCTGGATTGTATTCTCAGCACATACATAAATGAAATAAAGGTTCATTGACAACAACAACAACAACAACAACAACAACATAAATAAATAAATAAATAAATAAGCCAGGAGAGAAAATTTTCACTTTTTCCTAACCATGAGACAAGGACTATGAGCACCTTCTTGAGGCCAAGAAGGAGGAAGTATCACAAAGAGCCTTAAGAAACTTTGTCAGCATGTGCAACTGACTTCTAGATTCCTGCTACAACCCTTCCAGAGGTGATCTTGGAATACTGAGTAAGAAGAGTTGCACGGAAAATAAGTTGTGCTCTCTGAGAATAGCCTGAGGTTTCTGTTCTGATTTGCCACAGGCACTGGATTTACCAGGGCAGCTCACTGCACTACAATCACCACTGGAAATTTTCCTTTTTCCTTCCTTCCTCTCTCCCTCCTGTTTTCTTCCCTTCCCTTCACTTCTTCGGTCCCTTCCTTTTTTCTCCCATTTCTTGCCACAACTTACTATTATTTTTCTTTAGGGTTTTGTACTCATTTAACATGTGTTTCAAGCACTTTTATCCTCTATAAGTATATTAAGTATACAAAAWACAACAGGATTTGTATGCTTTTCTTTGTAGGCTTTTTAATTTTAAAGATCTTCTATATCTACACCAGTAAACCCAAGCTTCTCTAAAATCCACCAATGAAATTATATGCCTAGCTTATAAACATGTTTTCAGATAGAAATGAAGGACCCGAAAGAACTAGATTWTTTGACAGTGCTTTCAAGGCTTTGCATCAAACTAGAAATAGATAAATATATAGTAAATGTGCTTTTAGTGACATTTTCACCTCACCCCAAATTAAAATATTTCAGAAAAATTGTTATAATTATGAAATATATTAATAACTGAAATTAAGGAACGTAATTGTAAATTTCACCTACTGAACTCTGTGGGATTTGTTCATTACAATTTCTCCGTTATCATCACATTAGATTTGGACCAAACACAGATTGCTAGGGAATGGGAACTGGCAATCTAGATAATTTGTTCAGAGAAAGCACTATTAATGATAACATAGACAGTTGTTAGGAATACCACATTTGAGTTATTTAAATCTCAGTTCTCACTTTAAACATGACAAGGCTACCTTTTTATTGATGTACTTTGGAATTAGTCCTGAAGTTTCAAGATCATGCTTGTCCCCAGTTCTTTTGTCAACATAAACTGGCTTAGGCTTTTTAGCCACTCCCATGATGACATCGGCTGCATTTGTATTTATAAAATTTTTTCCACTCTGTATTCCCATGACTGGATGATCAGTCCTCAGTGGCACAGTAGGCTTCCTGGGCTGATTCCAATCAAATTTTTTTTCTGTTAAATATAACATTTCCTTGTTAATATTAAGTATCAACATTGCTACTCAATACTATTTATAATATCCAGATATTGGGATTCTATTAATAATAAATTCAAATACCTATAGTAAAAAGTTCTTACTATCCCCAAACTTATTGAGTTGGGTACATTAATTATGTAGGGCTTTTTATATGTCAATCATACCTCAATAAAATAGTTAAGAATATAAGGAATCAAAATACAAAAATATTAAGTACAACATAATCAAATAATATGTTGAAAAAGAGTATAAAAATCTTAGGGAGAAGGATAAGCATCCTAAATTATATGCTAGCTCACTAATACACTTTTACTATCTACTATGAGATATATTTTATAAAGACTACAATAATAAATGGTCAGCTCTGTTTAAAATGCTTATATAAGGAACACTAAAAACTTATGGGGACTATCAATATTACCAATAATTGTTTCTTCAGARGAAAATTACTGTAAAATCATCAAATAAATAAATTGAGCTTGATATATTGAAAGCCTATGAATCTATGGATTTTTTTCACTTAAATTATTTTTGTTATTATGTATAAAAATCTTGGAATAGCCATATAGACAAAACACAGCTTAACAAATAAAATATCAYCAATGTAGTTGAAATTTCATATCCATTCTTACCTGACTGCCCCTCATTTCCTAAAGTAACTATTTTCCAGAATGTATTTTATTTCTCTATACAACATGCTGTTCATTAAACACAGATGAAATTCATTATTTTTACACAATCTCTTCAGCTCAGCTATTCCAACCAATCTATTTTTTTTTTTTTTTTTGGTCCTGGGGATCAAACCCAGGGCCTTGTGCCTGCAAGACAAGCACTCTACCAACTGAGCTATATCCCCAGCCCACAACCAATCTACTTTGATACAGTCATAACAACATGGTGTGTCAAAATGCCAAAATGTAAATAATCATAATTTATTTCCAAGAACTGAATGCAACAACTATCTTCGAAAGGTCTTACTTCAATCTTAAGTTCGTCACTATTTCTAGRGACTTTGACTTTATGCACTTCTACATTGTTTGTTTATGGGTTTATATAACTTATATTATCTGAAAAACAATACTTATTGTTAAAAGTTATGGACTGGGTATAGACSGAGGAGAGGGATAGCTGGGTCAAATGGTGGTTCCATTCCCAATTTTCCAAGAAATCTCCATACTCCTTTCTGCACCAAGAAAAAAAAATTCAACAAAGTTTAAATGCTTGAGAGATCTTGCTCATTAATCAGAAACTATCTGGGGTTTTGGGCTTCTGAAAATAATTGTTGTTTTTAATTGAAGCCACATAAGTAGGAATTGAAATGAGGAGGCACTTAACGCTAGGAGTGGGGCTTTACTGGACAAACCAAGATGGAGTTCAAGATGCTTGCCCCATCAGCAGTCCATTTTGGGGGCAACTTATCCCTTCCCACTCTCTTTTTCTACTATATTCTCTACTTCTACTTTCTTCTAGTCACCCAAGTTCTGCTTAATATCAGGCAAAGTTGCTATTACCTATTCATATTCAATATTTATTGACAATAAAATAATTTTTAGCTAAATTAGCTAATATTTTGTTAATTTTTTTTAKTTGTAGGTGGACACAATACCTTTATTTAATTTATTTTTATGTGGTGCTGAGGATCAAACCTACTGCCTTACCCATGCAAGGCAAGYGCTCTACTCACTGAGCTATGACCCCAGCCCTAATTTAGCTAATATTTTCAATATTAAAAAGAAAGAGTGATAAAACCTACTGGGTGGTAGAGTTTTTTCCTTTGAATGTTTCTTTAGGAAATCCTTTGGAGTAGGTACTTCAACTTTAGCTGGTCCCATAGTTTTCATTGCAGTTTTAATTTTTTTCATGTCATTTTTTATAGTTGTCTTAAAAATTGATTTRTACCTGAAATTGAATTTATAAAGTCATAAAGTCATAGTGTTTATTTTTCTAGCAATAATATTTCAAGTTTAAAAATAGGCACACATTTCTAATTTACATATGACTATATTCATATGGAGAACAATAGCAATAAAGTAACTTGATATGAGCCCTGAGAATGAGCCTTGTGAAATCTAGATGGAAGCACTGGCCTAAGAAATAGGTGCCAGGACAAAGGTATTGCATTTTCTTATTGTCTTCTGAACATCAGTACYGTAGGCTGTGATGACCCCTCTGTTATTCCTGATATTAGTAATTTGTGTYTCCTCCCTTCTTCCCTCCCTTTCTTTTTCCCCAATCCTTATTAAACTTGCAGGAATTTATTAATTTTATTGATCTCAAAGAACTAGAATTTTATTGATTTTCACTGATGGAGATATGTTCTCCATTTTAATGATTACTGCACTGATCATTATTATTTCTTTTCTTTAGGTTTAATTTTCTTTCTTTTTTCTGTAGTTTCTTAAGGTACAAGTTTAAGTATTAGATTTTAAACCTTTATGCTTTATCTAATATAAGTTTTTAAAGCTATAAAATTCCCTCAGCACTGCTTTAGCAACATCCATAATTTTGATTCATTATGCCTAATTTCATGTAACCCAAAATACCTTTAAAATTACATTTTTATATCTTTGAGAAGTTTGTTTAGATATGTTTGTTCAGTTTCATATATTTGAGCTTTCCAGGAACCTCTCTAAATGATTTCTAATTTATTTCCTTGATATCTGGAGAATATACTTTATATAACTTCAATCCTTTCAAAAATTGTGATACTCACTCGATGACACAAAATATGGTCCAGTCTGGCAAGTGTTCTGTATATACTTGAAAAAAAACATATTATGCTAATCATGGATAAAGTGTTTTTAAAATGACAATTAGATCAAACTGGTTGAGGATGTTTTCAGGTGAACTTCCTGTTTTCTTGTACTTACTGATTTTGTACCTTTTCTATTTCCTGAAAGAGAGATGCTGACATCTCTGACTATAATTATGGAGTTGGTTAACTCTTTTAACTCAAACAGCTTTTGCTTCATATATTTTGAGGCACTGTTAGTGTTGCTTTATCATCTTTAAAAACTGACCACCACTTCATCATTATAAAATACACTCTTCATTCCTTTAAAATTCTGTACTCTAAAATCTACTGTCTGATACTATTATAGACATTCCAGCATTCCTTTATGATATAGTATATATTTTTCCATCCATAGAGTTTTTACTTGTCAGTGTCTTAATTTTTAAGAGATATTTCCTAAAAATATAGAATTTTCAACATCATTCTAAATGGAGAAAAATTAAAAGCGCTCCCTCTAAAAACTGGAAAAAGACAGAGATGCCCTCTTTCACCACTTCTATTCAACACAGTCCTTGAAACTCTAGCTAGAGCAATCAGACGGATGAAAAAAAGTAAAGAGATATACACAGGAAAATAATAACTCAAAACTATCACTATTTGCTGATGACATGATTCTATATTTAGAAGATCTGAAAAATTCCACCAGAAAACTTCTAGAACTAATAAATGAATTCAGCAAAGTAGCAGGATATAAAACCAATACCCATAAATTAAATGAATTTCTATACATAACCAATGAATCCACTGCAAGAGAAATTAGGAAAAGTACCCCATTCATAATAGCCTCAAAAAAAAAACAAAATAGACAGGAATCAATCTAACAAGAGGTGAAAAACCTCTACAATGAAAACTACAAAACTCTAAAGAAATAAATTGAAGAAGATCTTAGAAGATGAAAATATCTCCCATGCTCTTGGATAGGCAAAATTAATATAGTCAAAATGGCCATACTACTAAAACTGTTTTACAGATTTAATGCAATTCTTACTAAAATCCCAAAGACATTCTTCATAGAACTATAAAAAGCAATTATGAAATTCATTTGGAAAAATAAGAAACCCAGAATAGCCAAAGCAAGCCAAAGCAAAAAGAGTGAAGCAGGAGGCATCACAATACCAGATGTTAAAYTGTACTTCACAGCAATAGTAACCAAAATGTCATGGTATTAGTACCAAAGTCAACATGTAGACCAATGATACAAAATAGAAGACACAGACACAAACCCACAGAAATATGGTTACTTCATACTAGATAAAGGTGGAGAAAAGTAGCCTATTCAACAAATGGTATTGGAAAACTGGAAACCCATATGTAGCAAAATGAAATTAAATCTCTCTTATCCTGCACAAAAAATCAACTCAAAGTGAATGAAAGACTTAGACACTAGAACAGAGACCCAGTGCCTAATAGGAAARAAGGTAGGCCCAATTCTTCATCGTGTTGTCTTAGGACCTGACTTCCTTTACAAGACCCCTAAAGTGTAAGAAGTAAAATCAAGAACCAATAAATGGGATGGATTCAAACTAAGAAGCTTCTTCTCAGCAAAGGAAATAATCAATAATATGATGAGAGTGCCTGAAGAATGGGAAAAAATCTTTACCACACACACCTCTTCACTAATCTTCAGGATATATAAAGAACTCAAAAGACTTAACACCAAAAAAATTAAAATAAATAAATAAACCAATCAATAAATGGGCTAAGGAACTGAACACACACTTCACAGAATAAGAAATACAATTGATCAACAAACATAAGAAAAAAATGTTCATCATCTCTAGCAATTAGAGAAATTCAAACCAAAACTACTTTAAGATTTCATCTCATTCCAGTCAGAATGGCAATTATCAAAAATACAAGCAATAATAAGTGTCGGCGAGGATGTAGGGGAAAAGGCACACTGATACATTGCTGGTGGGACTACAAATTGGTGCAACCATTCTGGAAAGCAAAACCTTAGAAAACTTGGAATTGATCCACCATTTGACCTAGCTGTCCCACTCCTGTTGGGGGGGTCATACCCAAAGGACTTAAAATCAGCATATTACAGTTATGCAGCCACATCAATGTTTATAGCAGCTTAATTCACAATAGCTAAACTATGGAACCAACCTAGATGCCCTTCAACAGATGAATGGATAAAGAAAATGTGGTACATATACACAATGGAATATTACTCAGCCTTAAAGAAGAATGAAATTGTGGCATTTGCAGGGAAATGGAACTAGAGAAGATCATGATAAGCAAAATAAGCCAATCCCCAAAAAACAAAAGCCAAATGTTTTCTCTGATAAGRGGATGCTGATCCATAGTGGGGTGGGGAGTAGGGAAGAATGAAGGAACTTTGATTTTTGTAGAGGGCAATGATGGGAGGGGTGGGGCTGTGGGGATGGGAAGGACAGTAGAATGAGATAGACATTATTATCCTATATACATGTATGATTACACTACTGGAGTGASTGTACCATGTACAGCCATAGGAATGAGAAGTTGTGTTCCATTTGTGTATAATATGTTAAAGTTCATTCTACTCTCATGTATAACTAGAAAAAAATTAAAAAGTATATAGAATTTTTTTATCCAACCAACAATCACTTATATTTGGCATATTTAGACCATTCACATTTAATATAATTTACAAGTATGTTTGTTGTTAAATCTTCCATGTTGCTGGATTTTCCAGCAACATATCCCATTGATTATTGCTTCTGTCTCTATTCTGCCTTGGTTTTGTTTTATTTTGGTGCTTTACAGTACACATGTTTAACATTTCATAGCCTACCTTCAAATAATATTATGCCACTTMATATATGCTGTAAGATTTGGGGCAGGGATGTTGCTCTAGCAAGCAGGAGGCCCTGCACTTCCAAAACAAAACAAARCAACCCAAACAACAACAAAAATTTACAAAACAATATTGCATTCACTCCACTCCTACTTATGTCCTAGTATTGTCACATATTTTACTTCTCTGTCAAAAAACCTCATAATTCATTGAGATAGTTTTTTTTTAAATATAGCCAAATATGTCTTAAAGAGATTTGAAAAAAARTTCATATTTACTCATATATTTATCATTTCCAGTAGTCTTCATTCTGTTGTGTAAATCTAAGTTGCCAAATGGTACCATTCCTTCAGCACAAGAAATTTGCTGTCCTTTTTCTCCCCTCTATGCAATGTTTCTTTTTTCTTCTCTGACTGCATTTTAAGATTTTTCTCTTTATTAAGACTTTTAATACATTTGATTATAATGTCCCTTGGTCTGGTTTTCTTCTTCTCCTTTTCCTCTTCTTTTTTTTTCTGCTTGGTGTTCATTGTAATTCTTGAATCTATGGATTTAGAGATTTCACCAAACTTGACAATTTTTTTTTTACTTTTATGCAAATATTTCCTATTTATCTAGCTTTTCCCTCATTTTCTGTGATTACATTTAGACCTATATTAGGCTGCTTGATATTGTCCCTTGCTCACCAATACTCTGTTCTCTTTTTCAGACTTTTTTCTCTGTGTTTAATTTTGTATTGTTCCATTGTCTTCAAATTCACGTATATTTTCTTCTTTAGTGTCTTAGCTGCTGTTAATCCATTCTGGTATACTATTTTCATTTTGGACATAGTATTCTTTATTTCTAGAAGTTAGATTTGGATCTTTGGGTTATTGTTGGTTCCTCTTCCATTTCTCTCCATACCTTGATTCTGCTTTCCTCTATCTTTCTGAACACATCATGAATATGTAAAATAACTGTTTTAATGTCCTTGTCTATTAATTCTCTCATTGATGTCATTTGTATGTCTGTTTCACATTGACTGATTTTACATGTTATGCTTTGTATTTTCATGGTTTTTTGTATGCCTAGTAATTTTTGATTGGATGCCRAACACTGAATTTTACAATATTGATTGCTCAATTTTTCTCTTTCCTTCTTTTGGCATTTTTGAAAATTGTTCTTAAGCTTTATGCTGAGATACAGTTATGATAGTTGGAAACAATGTGACCATTTTAAAGCTTGCTTTTAAGTTTTACAGTAGGACTACTTTAGATTTGAACCCTCAACTGAGGTAATATGCTCTGAGAGCTCCAATGACTGTGTATTAGGAGGTGTCTCTACTGACTAGTGAGGATGTGAATTTTACCTGGCACTGCAGCTTTTTGGCGGTGATTTCCTTGCTTTGGTAGTTTCATTACACACACACACACACACTCCTACTCTCCTCTCTGGTACACTACACTGAATTCCATGACTTTTGCCTTCCCAAACTCTGTATTCTGTCCTCTTAACTCTGGGAAATTCCTAGGCACTGTTGAAATTCTCTGTATGGAGAACTTTAGGGCAATTATAGGATTTGCCTCATTCATTTCTTTCTTTTAGGGAAGAATGCTTTGTGCTGCCTGTTGTCTAGTGTTTGAAATTCATTATTTCATATCTTTTTTTGGTTGTTCCCATTGCTTAAGGTGAGAGGTTACATTCCATCCCTAATTGGAAAAAGGTTATCTATACTACTTTGAACAATTTGTAGTCTCTTCTCCCTTGTGCAGATAATTTATTTGGAAAATCACTGATTGATTGATTGATTTTTTTGATTTTGGGGTCTTTCCTCAATATTGAACTCAGTGGTTGGGAACCCATTATGGTCTAAATTAAATGAGTTCATTAGACATCTTCAGGAAATAATATTCAGGTATTAAAATAATAATAATAATATTCATGTCTTAGAATAATAATATTCTTGTCTTAAAATTCCCATGGAAGTTGGGATTGGAAGAAATGGTGTCATAATCAATAACAATGAAACAATGTACATCTACTCCAACCTCTTTTTAAATTGCAATTTTGTGATTCAAATTTTTTTGTGAGCCTACTTATCTATAATGTTATAACTGGCTCTATTTTTTACTTATTATTTGACAGGCTAGAATAATTCATTATTGTCATCTTCAATAAATGTGACACAACTACATCATATTGTCAACCATCACCATATAATAAGTCAGATCATTAACATGAGGAACACATTTTGTAATATTTTTTTATAAGGCACACAAAAAATGATAGTGCTCAAAAGTTGGGATAGTTTGAAAAAACTTAATAGGGATTTTCCCCCCCTAATGAATGAAGATGGGCAACTGAGTAACAACAATAATAATTTAATTCTCAAAACAACCCTAAGAGATAAGTAATATTATTTTAGTTTTATGGAAGAAAAAACAGGCCTGTAAAGTTGACGTGGGGAGGAAGAACAGGAGCTGAGACTGAGACACAAATTTGATATTAAGGCCCAGATCTTTAATCAGTCTGCACACTGCCTGAATAAATGAAACGAAACTAATAAGCACTTTTTGCTTCAATAGTGTGCATATTTTAGTCTTCTAATGATTTACTATGTAGTATATAGTTTTGTTATTTATAATACTCCTTTGTTCTAATGTATTGGGGCAAAGATATCAAAGAAAATGGGAAATGATGATAGTACTAATACACCGAACACATTAATAGAAATAGCATTATTTTTTTTATTATTGGATATCCATCATGATTAAATTTTTAAAAACTAAAACTACATACCCCTTTATCTTACCTGTGTCCTTGAGGACAGTCTTATTTCTTAAGAATTTGAGTCACGATGTCTGGTTAAGATAATAAACAGATATACACAGACTAACACACTTTTCTTCTAAACACAACCTCTTTTGTGGGGTAGTTACCAGGGATTGAACTCAGAGGCACTCAACCACTGAGTCACATCCCCAGCCCTATTTTGTATTTTATTTAGAGACAGGGTCTCACTGAGTTGCTTAGCGCCTCTCTGTTGCTGCGGCTTGCTTTGAACTTGTGCCTCCCCACTGGAAATACAGGTGTACACTCCCGCACCTGGCTAGAAACAACTTCTTATACCACAATATATTATATATACTGCTTAAGATATTAATCCTTACTTTTTAATTGAATAATCTTCTTGAAAAAAGTTCACTTACCTACAAATTTCCCTGGCAACAAATTCTAAAGAATGGTGTTGGCATATTTTATCTCTCAACATCTTAAGGTATATATAAAGACCTCTTACTATGTGTTATTTTATCTGTAGAAATCTAAGTGAGAGGTAACAACTCAAAATGAATAAATAGCAAGTCAATAACTGCATATGGTAGCTGTGCTTTCCCTTGCTAACAAAAATCCGATTTGTCCTTCCCTTCATCTGTATGTTTAAAGGGGAAAATAGTCTTTTTTGAATTATCCCTTCCATTACATAATTTCCCAGATTTTTTAATTCTTCTACATTACTTAAGTGATTCTATTAAATGTACCATATCTTCATTTGTTTAACTGTTTTTCCTGATTTTGAACCTTTTAGATAAAAAGTAAGGTCTAACTGTGTGTGTATGTGTGTGTGTGTGTGTGTGTGTGTGTGTGTGTGTGTGTGTTGTATAAACATGAAAAGAGCATTTGGATAAAAGTAATATAAGAGATAAGATAGTGTTTTATTATTGTGGAAATCTTCAGGGATTGCCTAGCTAGATGAGAAATATGAATAGTAGATTCTGAAATTATCATAAGACTGAAACCATAGATTGCAGCAATGGTAATTTTAGTATAAAATTTCATTATGCCGAAAACAAAAGATTTTGGAATTTTTTTCTTTCTTTGAATATAAGTTCATCAAAAAGTTTGCTGCTTTCCTCAATTAAATTCTTGCAATTAAATTCAGCAAACTAAATAGGAAAGATCCTCAGGATAAAAATGACTATGTGCACTGGGTTCGATCCTCAGCACCACATAAAATAAAATAAAGATGTTGGGTCCACCGAAAACTAAAAAATAAATATTAAAAAATTCTCTCTTCTCTCTCTAAAAAAATGACTATGTCATCTAAGAATTCATAATAGTCAAGAAACAGATTGTTCAGCAAAGTCAAATACATAATGAGACTTTAAGAAGTAAATGTTAGAAAGACTTCAGAATTTATAGGTATAATAGTACAGATTGTTACTGATGGTGAAAACTGAATTCACCCTAACAGAATGTTCTTTTGGCACCACTTTTGGATGCTTTTCATTTCCTCTCACTTAGTCCTTTTTCTATGTATTTCTTCAGAATAAAAGCAAGGCAAGGAGTTTTTGCTGCCACTCCAACATCTCCAAGAACTGATATACTAGCACTGTTATACACTTAATAGGAGCTCAATTAATGCATTCCAAATGAATAGCGATTATTCTTTTAAGTGATCAAATTATTTTTTTTTGGAAAAAAAAGTCTAGATACAGTAAAGCTTTTAAATTTACTAATGAACATAATACCTATCTAAGAAAATATCTTAACATTCAAATTTAGTATTCTATAGAAAGTACAACCTACCAAGGTGTTACAGAGAGGAGGAACTTTATCTTGTATAGTATACAGGAATTTTGGACCAAAAGTTGGGTCAACAGTACATGATTTGAACTTTCTTTCATAAACTCTGAAAACTGTATCCTAGTTTAGTTTACACTCCTCTTTTCAATTTCTACTAGATTTTAAGAAACTAATGGAAATACAATACAGGTATTGCTCCAATTAAAACCAGATGCTCAGGTTTAAAACTGAATGACTTGCCCATTTGTTTTGCTACACACCCCAAGTAAATGATAAGTAAAAATTATTGACGTCATACTCAAAAGAGACCTTTGAGACTATCTAATCCACTTGTTTTCCAGATTGAAAAACAAATAAAAATTTAGTTTTAGAGTATATTTTTTTAGCCTAATGCTCTTTTAAAGGTAATATTGACATATATAGGAACAGGATAAAGATAAATGAAAGGATATATTTCAAGACCTATGAGGAAAAAGATTTTCTCTACCAGTTAACTTTTCTCCCCACAGATTTAATTAAGTTCTAAGAAGTACTTACACAGGCAAATAACTGGACTGTTTATTTGTGGTTCCCTTTGTGAGATTTGGGTGAAATTAGTGGGTACTAACAATTTTGTTAAAATTTTAACTAAATTACATATTTTGGGGTTGCTAGCCAACCATTATTCACTCCACTATTCCATTAAACCTGAAAAAAAGACCWTAAAATATATTCTATCTACTTTGTTTAGCCAATCAAAAGACCGAGGCTCAGAAACAAATGGGAATTTTTATTTTACAATAATCTTGGGGAAAAATATTCTGCCTTTAGAGAGGGAGTAGTAGTGCAGTTAGAAATACAACACTTGGCTCCTGAAATCAAACATCAAATGTCCTTATACAGAATAATAAAACTGATTTTTTTCTTTTGAATAACATCATGACATATTATGCTATTTTGTATAACACATCACATATAATTAGATAAGTTACAAAAATGACATAATGTATTAATAGGAGGCTAAGTGTAACATAATAAAATTACCATCTTATAGCACGGGACTGTCATCTGAATTGTGAAAAGCTAAACACCTAGATTTTTCGACCTCTAAGAAGTCGTCATCCAAGGTTACTTCATTGAGACAAAAATATATTTTATYTTTAAGAGTCCATAAATATTCCAATAAAATCATATTGGTATTGGTTAAGAAAAAAGAAAGAAAAAAGAAAGTCCTGTATTATGTATACTTAGTTAATCTGGACATGGAATCATTATTTCTTATTCTTGTTTACAACCTTTGCTTACCCACATACCTAGGAGGCTGAGGAGGCTCCTTCAAGTCACTGGGTATGAGGTTATAAATGCTCTCAGTAAAGCACGATGAATCCATCATCACCAAATGACTTCTTCACTACTGTTCTCAACTTTTTTCTCACTATACCCGTAACTCAGTCTCTTTCTTCACAGCTTCCCCTTTCTTTTTCTTGCTTCCTTGCTTTCTCAAGGAACTCAGGTTTCTCTTTCACATAATCCTCCCTTTGACCCCTTCTTAGCAGTTCTCTCTGGAGAAGAAAAGAAAATACCCTGTCTATTCCTCCCAGGAATGCTTAGCGTTGTTGGCCTTGCGGTTGCTGTGGAAACAGTTACTAGGCGACGGGGAGATGGAAGGCCGCATTGCAAACCAGGTTTCCTCTTGTCTTTCTGCAAGGCTTTTTTCCTGTCTGACAAATTCATATGGAAGCCCCTGTGCCTTTGGGAAAAAAGGGATGAAAACAGTGTCCTCTAGAACATTTTGTTTTTTTCTCACTTTTTACGTTTGGAGAAAAAAATTCTACTACTACTACTACAGCCGAAACCCAGCGGTGCGCAAGCGTCAAACATTAAAGCTCTAGTGCGCAGGCCCCAATCCTGGCCGGGGCTAGGAAAGCTTCTAAGGCCGAGCTGACGCACAGGCCCACGTGGGGAGCGGGACTTGAGGGCGGGAGGAGCCCAGGATCTTGGAGGGCGGAGCGCGGGAGAGAGTCACGTGCCCAGTGCTCGGAGCTCGGGCGTGGGGCGTGGGGCGTGGGGCGTGGCCGCGTAGGTCGGCGCAGGCGCTGAGGCCGCAGCGCGGGGCGGGGCGGGCCTGCTGAGAGCCGGGGTTACGGGGCTGTCTACTGAGGCGGTACTGGCGGTTTATGGACTCTTTCCATTTCCTTTCCTTTTCCCCGTCTTGTCAGTGTGACTTTCTTGGTGAGTTACTGGAGGAGAAAGAAAGGAAAACTAGAGACCAATCTGTTTCCATCGCATGCGTTTCTCCCATCGTTCCTTCTTTCCGCTACTCAATTGTAATCTTTGCGCTATTCTACCTGCTGTTTCCGTCTGAGGCTTCTCAGACCCCTCCCTCCCTGCGAACCCTACCCACCACCTGAGCMAGTGCACGCCCGCCCTCCCGCGCCCACCTGCTCCTTCCACCTGTGGCGCCCTTACCCTCCCCCTTGGCCCTCTGCTCTTTCCTGCGCTGCCTGGTGAGCTCTCCGCCCCCGTTACCCTCTGGGCGGGCCCTTCCCTCTCCTGTTGCTTTCTGCAGACCTGTGCGTGAGCAGCGTCGCCTGGACCAGCGACCAAAGTTGTATTTCAGTGAAGCAATTTACAAAAACAGTGATGGGCTAGATTAAGTGTTTGTGCAGATATCTAGTGTAAATTGTACTATACTGTACATTAGCAAATTAGGCGATTTTTGCTAATGATTATTTTAATATATTTAAATAAAAATGGCTATCGATAGTGATATAAATAAGACAGTTTGAAAGGAAAATAAGCCCTTCATAAAAGTAACATTTTTATAGTATTGAAAGAGTACTTGAAAATCTTTTCAATCAAATACTTGAGGCTATTTGGTATGAACCATTAACAACAGGACTAACAATCTAACAACAGGAAAAGCTTAGTCGGATTTGATAGCAACTTAAAAACAAAGATAAGTGATGAACTTGTAAAATGGCTGTAAGATCTTTGTGATTACACTGTGGCCTTACACTATGTGCTCCTTCCACCAGCTCTCCTTGTCTGTTTCCTGGGAGGTAGGGGACTAACTGAAGGCCTCTTAGGTTTTGGGGTCCGTAGTCAGAAACAGCAGACCTTTTCTTCCCCTTGGCTGGTATATCCCTAGTACATTTCCATCTTACAGTTGCCATAAAAGTGCAGTAAATTTAAAGAATTTTTGAAAACATCAGAACACTCTTCTTTATAAGATAATGAGCTAGATCTAGAGAGTCACTTTTCTGAGAAATTTTAAAAAGAAATTGTATTAATATTAATTTAGAATGATGAGCATACTCATGGCATAGACTTTCTTTTAGAAGATCCTTGGATTACAGCCAGTTCTCGTGAAATAATTTTTGAAGTGGTCTGTCTTGTGTTTTGGAAAGGCATATAATAGCAAGCAAATCTTTTAAATTTATAGCAAATAATACATAGTTTTGGTTAAACAGGGTTTTAAGAGTCCACAGATTTGAAAACTAGATAATTCTATAGTAAATTAAAAAWTTTTTATGATTTGGAAGTACAAATTGATACGTTAGAATATAATTTTAGTTGATTAACATATAATGGTAAACTTAAGATACTGTTAAAAGGTTGCTGAAAACTAGTATGTACTTGTTTAAATACGTGAGCATATTAGCATTCATAGGAAAAATTTTAGTGTTTTCTATAATTTTTCCTTTTGAAATCTTTAATTTTGGTCAGCTTTTGACAGTAAAATTGTTATATCTTGTGCCTGAGGTCATACAGTACTTGAATTCATATGTACAGATGGATATTCTGGATTTATTTCTTAAAGCTATCATGCTGACACACCCTTTTTGTTTACCTATTTGAATATAAAATGTCTTTCATATTTATGAAGGATCCACTGGAATTAGTGGTTCAAAAAAGTTCCGCCATAAAATGTGATTAATAGAGAAACTCATTTAAAAATTGCTTACTTGAGGAGCTAGGTTTGTAGCTCAGTGGTAGATATCTTGCCTACCATCTATGAGGCCCTGGGTTGGATCCCTGGCACTAAAAAAAGAAAAGAAAAAAAAACTAATATGTAATGGAGTTGTGTGGAAATCTGTGGAATAAGGAATGTAAAGTATTTTTGTGGAGCACTTGCTTGACCAAAAAATATTCAGAATTAACAATACAGTGAAACCTGATTATTGATGTCCAAAGTATTTGTTTTGTTTTGTATTTTGCAATACTGAGGTTTGAACCCATGGTCTCAATACATGCTAGGCAAACACTACCACTGAGCTACATCCCCAGTCCTTTTGATTTTATTAAAATAAACTTAGGGTCTTACTTAGTTCCCAAGCTGGCCTTGAGTTTGTGATACTCCTGCTTCAGCCTTCTGAATAGCTAAGATATTTGCTTTTCACTAGTTTTTGATTTTGACTCTTATATGATTGCCTTCCATTTCAGTTCAGGTAGTTTTGCCCTTTGAAGAAAAATTGCTTATTCATGATCACTATAATGAAGAACATATTAAAATATTAATAAGTGAAAAGATTTAATAAAATCATTTTGAATAAAAGAAAAATGATCTACTGTTGATCCTCACTATTCACAAATTCTGTATTTTTGATCTGCTAGCTGAAATATATTTGTAACTGCCACATCCACACTTGAGTACCACTTTTATAGACATTCCTGGACAAATGCAAAGCAGTGAAAATTTTGAGTAGTGTCACATGCGTGTTCCTAGCTGAGGTCAAAAAAGGTGATGCTGCCTTCTTGTTTTAGTTCTTGTGTTAAAAACAAATATCTTTTTCACATTCTATTTAGTGCCACATTTTCCACGTTTTTGTGTGTTAGTGAGTGACTTTGCTGATTAAATGGTCCCTAAGCTGAAGTGCTGTGTAGTGTTCCTAGGTGCAAGAAGGCTGTTGTGATGTGCCTTACAGAGAAAACAGTTTTGTGTGATTAGCTTCATTCAGGCTTGAGTTACAGAGCTATTGACTGAGTTCACAGTAAGAGATGAACAGTATAAATGTCTTTAAATGGAAACACATAAAGGTTACATGTTAATGGGTTAGCAAGAATCTTGTACCCAGAGGCTCACAGGAACCTAACCCTGTATTTCCTCTGGGAATAATGGTTCAGTAGTCCACAACAGTAAAGACTTTATTGGACATAATTACCATGGATAATGAGAATCAATAGTATTACCTCTTAAGTAAAAATCCAGTTTACAGAATGTTAAATGTGGGGGCATTATTCCATATTCTTTTGTCTTGGTTAGCTTAAAATAGACTTGAGTATAAAGGTTCTAAAATTAATTTATGGCTAGATGTTACAAAATCAAATTTGGTGTGTAACTTAAAATACAATTCATCTTTATTTTTCTTTAGAAATGGTAATGTTTGTCCTATGTTGTAGCACTTAACTGCCTTCAGCTAATCTAAGGAAGATTTGTAGTAAAAGAATATTGATACAGAATTTATAAATTGAACTGTAATCATTTTCTCTCTTTAATTCATATCCATTTTGCTCCCCCAGACTCTTTTGAAAAAAAGAAATGAGATAAAATTAAAAATGAGAGGGTATAGGGGAAGTAAGAAAAAGGCAGATTGCAAAAGGTAAAGTTAACACATGTAATGTTTGCCTTATAATCTTCTCATAATGAAGTTGATGTTAAGCATTGTAGCAACCAGCATAAAGTGGAAGATAAAAGATTCAAGTTACTCAGGTAATGCACAATAATTCCTGATACAGAGATCAAAAAGAAAGTTATGAATTGCAAACACAAAGGCAGACACTCTGTAATGTTTTAAGCAGAAACTTCTTGAATGGGAGGTTAATCAGGCTGTTTAACACAGTGCCCTTATAGCATGTAGTACTAAAGTGTACAGTTCTCTCTGGTCCTTGGATTATTCAAGGGAAAGGATCAGACTCCGCATAGCAAAATAGTTGTAGAATTTTATGATACTGAATGCAGTTATGTTTAACTTGAAATTTTTTCTCTTATAGATTTCATTTTTTTGCAGAAATCACCTTTGCTCCAGAATCAACAAACTCGTCGTCTAAGATTGGTTCCTGTGTATCCCAATCAGTCAGTGGAGTCAAGCCCTAAACACACAAGCTGAAAAATCAAATAAGGGAATAAATTCTTTCTTTTGACAGTTTTTACTTGTAAGTTAAATTCAAAATTAGCTTAAATTGTTTAAACATTAAATCACCAATTTAGCTTAATCAGTAGTACATGATTAAAAGTTTTCAGAACATATTTAAACATACCCTTTAATATTTGGCGTGACTTAGTCACATATTAGTTATAATTAGAGAACATGTGAAAAGCCCTCACTATAAAGTTACTTCAATTTGAGTGACTATTGCAATAATTATTAAATTGCATTTTGCATGACAAAAAAAATTGACTTATCTAGCCTATTCACCACTGAGTATATTTCCAAAGACAGGAACTTGATCAGTATGGAGAATTGTAGAGGATCTTTAGAGGCCAGAAATTTTTTTTCCTTTCATCATTGGAAACCTCCCTGAATTTCTTGGCTTTCTTCTCTGGAGTCTGAAATTTGAGTTAAGTCTTGCCACTAATGATGTTATAGGAATAGAAATAAAAGCAATGGGCCCATATAGATAAGGTTATAGACATAACCTTTGACTTTATGATGATTATTACTTTTTCTTAGCTATTTGCATATTATACCTTTCACTTTGGCTTTTTTAAGGCCTTCATATGAATAATATGTAGGTATTTTTCTTAATATGCATGTAAAAAGCACACAGGAAAGAAAATGTCATACATTTGTCTGTAGTTTAGAAAATTACATAAGCATTTTATAAGCAAATATGTTCTTTTATTCTAGTTTTCTGCTGTGAATTCTATAATAAGAACTTGATAAGTAACATGATAATCCATCAACCTGTTCATATAACTAGAGAAATTGAATATAAAGAATATTGTTCATCTTTGTGATTAAAAGTTATTAGTACTCCAACCCCAAATTCTCTTTGCATCTGTTATAAAATATGTAAACCAATAAACCGTAAAGCAGTTTTTATTACAGTATTCCATAAAAGTACACACTGATTTGATTTAGCATATATTTTTAAAACATCTGATGTTACATTTCTGACTGAGTTTTCTGTTTATAGTTACTTTTTGTGGTTCTGGGAATCATACTTATTTTTTGAGTTTTTTTCCCAAGCGTTTTGAGATTGGAAAAGATACTGTTAAAAAGAGTAATATGTAATATATGGGCTATTTTTTTAAGTGTCCCATACACTTGGAAGACTTTTAAACAGTTTATGTATAGTGGGCATGGTTATATTCAAACCTATCAGTATTTTAATAGTTTGTTGATCTTGTAACCAATTGTCTCTTTTATTTTTATGTCTTTAAAAGGGCTAAACTCAATTATTAAATTGGCTCAGACAGAAAAGCGAAGAGAATGCTCCGTTTCAACCGATATCAGCATCTGAAACAGATAACACAAAAATGTGTTTCTAGTATACATGTTAAAACAGATAAATGTACACCACTATTTCTTTCAAGAACCTTTGCACTCACAGAATTAAGGAAGTCATGGTGTTCAACCCACTCTCTTTTGGGAGACAAAAATATTATCCTAATGGGACTTCCTGGTGCTGGAAAAACAACAGTAGGCAAAATAGTAGGGCAGAAACTAGGTCGTTGTGTCATAGATGTGGATGATGATATTCTTGAAAAAACTTGGAATATGAGTGTGTCTGAAAAATTACAGGATGTTGGCAATGAGCAATTTTTAGAAGAGGAAGGAAAAGCTGTGTTAAACTTCTCTGCATCTGGAAGTGTGATTTCTCTCACTGGGTCCAATCCCATGCATGATGCTAGCATGTGGCATCTAAAGAAAAATGGCATAATTGTATACCTGGATGTACCCCTAATGGATGTAATTAGCCGTCTAAAATTAATGAAGATAAATAGAATTGTAGGTCAGAATTCTGGAACGTCTATGAAAGAGTTACTTAAGTTTAGGAAACAGTATTATAAGAAGTGGTATGATGCTCGAGTTCTTTGTGAAAGTGGGGCTTCCCCAGAGGTGATAGCTGACAAAGTGCTGAATGAAGTTAAAAGGTACCAAGATGTGGACTCAGAAACATTCATTTCAACAAGGCATGTTTGTCCTAAAGACTGTGAACAGAAGCTTTCAACAAAATTCTTTAGCGAAGCTGTGACTGAGGGCTTAGCTTCTGATGGTGGACTGTTTGTTCCTGAGAAGGAGTTCCCAAAATTAAGCTGTGGGGAGTGGAAAAACCTAGTAGGAGCAACTTATGTAGAAAGAGCACAGATACTGTTGGAAAGGTGTATACATCCTGCAGACATACCTGCTGCCAGATTGGGAGAAATGATTGAAACTGCTTATGGGGAAAACTTTGCCTGCTCAAAAATTGCTCCTGTCAGGCACCTTTCAGGCAACCAGTTCATCCTGGAGTTGTTTCATGGGCCAACAGGATCATTTAAGGATTTATCTTTACAGCTTATGCCTCATATTTTTGCACACTGCATTCCACCAAGTTGCAATTATATGATACTTGTAGCTACTTCAGGAGACACAGGGAGTGCAGTCTTAAATGGTTTTAGTCGTCTTAGTAAGAATGAGAAGCAAAGAATAGCTGTGATCACATTTTTTCCTGAGAATGGAGTAAGTGATTTTCAGAAAGCACAAATAGTTGGCAGTCAGAGAGAAAATGCATGGGCAGTGGGTGTCAAGTCAGATTTTGATTTTTGCCAGACAGCTATAAAAAGAATTTTTAAAGATTCTGATTTYACTGGCTTTCTTACTGTGGAATATGGAACAATATTAAGTTCAGCTAATTCCATAAACTGGGGCCGACTGCTTCCTCAGGTAGTTTACCATGCTTCTGCCTATCTTGATCTCGTTAGCCAAGGATTTATTTCTTTTGGAAGCCCAGTAGATGTCTGTATTCCCACAGGAAACTTTGGAAACATATTAGCAGCAGTGTATGCCAAGATGATGGGAATCCCTATTCGAAAATTTATCTGTGCCTCCAATCAGAACCATGTTTTGACCGATTTTATAAAAACAGGACATTATGATCTAAGGGAAAGAAAATTAGCTCAAACTTTTTCACCATCAATAGATATTCTCAAATCCTCAAACCTGGAGCGACATTTACACTTGATGGCTAATAAAGATGGGCAATTAATGACGAAATTATTTAATCAGTTAGAAAATCACCATCACTTCCAAATTGAAAAGATTCTAGTTGAGAAACTTCAGCAGGATTTTTTAGCTGACTGGTGCTCTGAAGGAGAGTGCCTAGCAGCTATTAATTCTACCTATAATGCTTCAGGATATATTTTGGATCCACACACTGCTGTTGCAAAAGTGGTTGCAGACAGAATGCAAGACAAAACTTGCCCAGTGATTGTCTCATCTACAGCTCATTACTCAAAGTTTGCACCTGCTATTATGCAGGCTTTAAAGATAAAAGAAATCAACCAGACTTCATCAAGTCAGCTTTATTTATTGGGTTCATACAATGCATTACCTCCACTACATGAAGCTTTACTAGAGAGAACAAAACAGCAAGAGAAGATGGAGTATCAGGTTTGTTCAGCTGATATAAATGCCCTGAAGAGTCATGTGGAAAAACTAATCCAAAATCAACTCATAGGAAGGTTTTCCGAGTAGAACATTTTTTTCCTGGTGATAAGTATGCAATAATAAATCTCAAAAGTTGATTTGGAGTACAACAGCATTTGTTTCTATGTAAATGTATACGTATATATGTGTATATATTTATCTGTTAATTTTTGGAACTTCAGTAGCCTAATTTCCAGGACAGATCATTATACCTACATATACCTCCTTCAATCCTTAATCTAGAAGTGACAAATGGTGGCAAAGTACATGGAATCTTCTATCATATGCTTTGCTTTGTGCTCTTGAGGGCTATGTCAGTTTCTGCTCCCTCATCTCCACTTTTTAAATGGACCAAAATGTACTCAGTTTTGCAATTAAAAATATTTAAGCACAATTGTTAAGTACTATGCTTGTAACAATTTACTATTTCTCTTTTGGCTAGAAAGTTTTTATTGCTCAAAATAGCTAACTTGTTTGGAGGAATTAGTAAATTCATCTATAAAGGTTAAGGCCAGTATTTTAAATCATTTTTAAACTCAATTTTGAACTAGAATTAATTGTGTGTTTCCTACAATTATCTAATTATATTAGATAAGTGCTCTGCCCTTCACTCCCCTTTGACTGTTTATAGTTAAACAGTCAAAGGGGAGTGAAGGGCAGAAGGAGGATGAAATTTGAAAGCAAGACAGTATTTAAATCCAGGATGTAACAGTCAACAGAAGTACTTAGAAGTGGATATAGAAATAAAATTACCTATTTCAAGAGGTCAGTTCTCCAAAATTGTTAATAAAGGTATAGGTATTGTTATAGACAGCCGCTTTCCCATATTATTGGAATCCATTTCTATATAATTGATCTATTAACCCTTCAATAAAGTGTTTTGTTTTCTGTGTTTTTCTTGTTTTGTGGCAGCTACACAAAACACTAACACACATTTAATTTGCATTACTATGTAGTGACAATAGATTTTAACTAAGATTTATATTTGCAAATTTACTGGATATTTTATTTCTGAATTAAATATTGTCACTGAAAGGATCCATTTATGTATGGGCTACTCTCAACCACAAGATGGCATGCCTAACATAATTTGTCTTTGCGATAACATTTCTGCCTCATTTTCTGGGAGAACCACCTCCATGAAGAAATGATATTTAAAAGTTGTAATGATGAAGAAGTTCACCAGAAGCAGTTTTTAGAAAGTGTTAAATTATGTTAACATCAGATCTCTGACTTTACTTCTAAAATGGAAGTTATAAAGCCAAAAATAGAAAACCAGCAAAATAATGGAAGTTTCAAAGTTCTGCAYATATTCATGTTAGTGTTTTTCCCCCCCACACCGTTTATTTTTTTTTTTCTGGTGGTACTGAGAATTGAAACCCAGAACCTGGCACACACTAGGTAAGCACTCTACCACAGAGCTCTATCCCCAGCTTTTTTAGACAAGCTCTCACCAAGTTGCCAAGACCGACCTTGCATTTGTGATCCTTCTACTTCAAACTTCTCAGTAGCTGAGATTTGCACCACCACTCCTATGTGTATTCATTACTTTATAATTTAAGGATATTTGTTTCAGTAGATGATATGTTTAGAATATGAATTTGAATGTTCACCGTGTGTGTGAGAATGCTCTATTTTTCTGGAAGTGGGAATGACAGTGAAAAAAGAAAAGCATGATTTTTGCTGTGAAGAACTGTAGTTAACAAGAGACCACAAACATGGAGTTGTGTGCGACACTAGACTTATGCAAGATGATATCTGAATAAGTGAAAATTGAGTAATACTGCTGATTGTTAAAAAAATTTGAAGGAAAGGATTGTTAAGGAATGATCAGAAAAGGTTTCATGGAGGACATTCTGAGATGAGGCTTGAAATGGGAAGATTTTCTAGGTGAAGAAAGAGGGAAACATTCTAGACGAAGGCCATGTTAGCAGGGAAGGTAAAATGGTAAAGCCCACCAGCATTTATTTGTGGTTAGTTTGCTTTTTCACTCTTCAAAATGGTCATTTCATGTCTCCACTTTTTCTTGAAACTCTGTCCTTCCACTTTCAGCCAATAACCTTTCTTCATTTCAGAGGAAAAAGTTATCGTGCATAACATCTCAGCCTCCCCACATCAAGTGTATAAATCTGCTATACTCATTAGCATCCTTTCCTCCTTCCCTTCAGTGAATTTGGTAGCAATCCTCCTCCTTTTAAAGAGCAGTCTCTCAGATGTGCCTTGTAACTTGTTCCCTTCAACTCAGATTATTTGCTTCAGCAGTTATCTTCTCTTCAACTTCTCCCATCAAGTGGAACCTTCCTGTGGCTTTTAGATGCTCTCTGCATTAAGAGCAAAACTTCTCAACACCCACATTTCTTCCATCTATTTTTCTTTATGCCCCAACCAAAATTAAGCTCTTCAAAGAGTTGTCTACATACAGGGTTTCCATTTTCTTCTTATTTCTTCCACAGTGCATAAAATGTGAACAGTTTAAAGATGAATAATAAATACCTAAGTACTCACCACCTCCTGAGCAATGAAGAATAGAACATCACTCAGACATTTGGTTCCTGCTGTGGTTTCTCTTTGATTACATTCACTTTCCTCCTCCAGAGTTAACCACTATCTAAATTGAATCATTCATTTTTAAAGTAGTTTTATTTTGTTTTAGTTTTGACTCTGAATTTTATCTAAATGGAATCATACTGTATGCATGATTCTGGGACCTTTATTTTTACTCAGAAATTTTCATTTGATAAGATGAATCAAGCTATGGTTCATTGATTTTTGTTTTTAAATAATAATCTGTTGTGTGAATGTCACTACCTATTTCCCAGTTAGTGGGCATTTTGTCTAATTTGTATCTTTTAAAGATGAACTTTCATAAAATTTGTGTTGAAGGTTAGTGAATATGGACTTTCAATCATTTGTAATTCTTTTAATAACAGGTAAAACTAGTTTTCAGATCTTGAAATTATTAAAAATATGGGTTATTTATGAAATGAGTCATCAATTTTCAGTCTGTGGTTATAATTGTAACTTTTACTATCTTTGAAATTATTTTACAGTATCAAATGCAGTGAATTTGTAAGATTTTTGAGAAACATGAAAATTTTAATTACGTATTTTCGAAATAAAAATATTTCAATCAAAATAGAGTTAAGACAATAAATTGTACAAGATTTCGGAGTTTAATTGCAATTCATTTTCAGAAATAATCATGGATGACATTGATTCTCTCAATCCATTAAATCATTTATAAACATTTTATAATTCAGACTACTTAATGTAAGTTTTAAAAAAGTAACTTTTCATGTGAACATGAAAATATTATATTGTTTTTTGTCTCCATCCAGGAAAATAAATAAAATCTACATATGAAATAGTTATTTGTGTGGTCCCCTTCTGTGCACTCCAACCACTAAAATCATTAGTTTTGTCTCTTTAAAACTTGAAAAACAAATAGATTCCTTCAAAAACAGACTTTTTCAACTCAAGGAAGCAAAGCCAAGAAAGTTGCCAATGTCATGGTCGAAGTCAAACCAAGCAATATTTTGATCCAAGTTCTTACATCAAAAGTTGGGATTGCTTCCTATAGAAGAATGCTTTATTTAAGTTAACTGTTTTTCCTTTTAAATTCAGAGCTGTGAGCGGCAGGTAAATTTAATTTACAAATATTTTAAATAATCCACAATGTATCATTTTTTTTCCTTTTTTCAAACTTTTTATTGTTTTGAGAATTGAACCTAGGTATGCAATACCACTGAGCTACATCCCCAGCCTTTTTTAAAATTTTGAGAYCGGGCCTCACCAAGTTCCCCAGATTGGCCTTGAACTTGTGACACTCCTGCCTCAGCCTCCTGAGTAGCTGGTATTACAGGTGTGCACCACTGCGCCTGGCTCACAATGTATTATTATTTGGGGGGGGGGTGGTAATTGGGGGCTGAATCCAGGGCCACTCAACCACTGAGCCACATCCCCAGCCCTATTTTGTATTTKATTTAGCGACAGGGTCTCACTAAGTTGCTTAGCACCTTGATTTTGCTGAGGCTGGCTTTGAATTGGCAATCGTCCTGCCTCAGCCACTGGGATCACAGGCATGTGCTCTGTTGCCCAGCTTCAGAATGTATTATTTTTAATGAACAAATTGTATTTGGAGGATGATCCTAAAAATGAGTAATAAATACCATCTAATAGTAATGATTCAATTCCATCTAATACTAAACTTAATGGTATCCTGTGAGATTTTTTTTTAAGCAAATGCTTTATTACCATATTTCAAAGTGGGCACTTTAAAGTAGATACTCCGAGCTCATGAGAGTTGCCAAAATTAGAATACAGTCTCTAGAAACCATATTGAACAATGACAAGAAGTAAAAATATTTTTAAAAACAAACTGTCTTCTTAGTAATCTCTAAGATATATGCTAATTTTAAATGACTAATGTAATTTCACACTAATAGAGGCCTACTTATATTCATGATGTTATTAAAATTTAGTTTATAACTATATGCCCACCCATAGAGATTTTTTGAAGCCATGTATTGAGAAACTGATGTGACTCCATTTCTGAGAAACCAGCCTCTACCTCAGAGCAAAGCCTGTCCAAGGAAGGGGGCATGACCCTTGTCCTTGAAAAAACCCACAGAGCACTCCTAGGCACATACTCACCCTGCTGAGTTGTTTATCTACAAATAATAGGAGAGGTCTGAGGTGCCAGGTGTCCCTGACTCAGTCAGGCTAGGTGAGAACCCATAGCAACCTCCTAGCAACCACCAATCAGCATGAGACAAGGAAAATGCCTGGGATACCTGATGACCCAGTAGTTTATGGTGGTTGATAACATGTTGGGAAACCATGTAGTTTAGCACGTACACCCCTTGTGGCTTAAGCCAATCAGTTCAAATAAATCCYCCTCTTGTACTAACCAATCACCCTTAACCAACTTGTTCCCGATAGTGAATGTGCTAATCATGTTTTAGAGTTGTTTTATGATTTTCCCGAGGTGTGTGATGATTTGCTAAGAGATGCTATGATGTATGTGGGGTCCCTGCCTTCCCCAAAAAGTGTGTAAAAACTGCTGCAAACCCTGGGCTCAGGGCTTCTCAGTGTCACCAGTT